AAAAACCAGCACCTCCATCAGAAGAGTTGCTTCAGAAGTTGAAGACCTTTGCTAGCATTCCACATGACAGCGCAGACACAAAGACATTAGCACTGGTCTCTTTCCTCTATCTCTACTGTGCCATTGTAGGGTCACAAAAGTAAGCAATGGCAGATACTACTTTGTTTTTATCTTTTTTGTTCTGCCTTTACCATGCCATAAAAACAATTAAAGTGAGATCCATATTGAAACATGCTGTAAAGTGAACTCCAAACTTTTCTTTTTATAACCTTGTTAAATAAAAATAGTGTTCAATCAATATATATTTACATGTTTGTGTACATGTTTTCCCCAGTATAACTTGAAAAGAATATGATATAAATATATATTACCTACATGCTAAAAGTCTGGTATTGGTTTTAGAACTTTAACTCCACTAGAGATCCGTATTGAGTCCAAGCTCCCAGTGAGTGCAGGCCTGGGCTCCTCGGCTGCATACTCTGTCTGCTTAGCTGCAAGCTTACTGCTGCACAAAAATCTGATCTCAGGTAAGACTTTTGACACAGACTTTTTTTATGAGTTGAAATTGAATAAACTGTGCAAAAAGTAGAATTGATAAAGTGCATCTGATCAATTTCATCAACTTTTAGATGCTCAGGATAATTAATTACACTAGTTATTATCCCCGTAATTATGTATTTGTTTTTGGTAATAAAATTTTATTTTAAATAAAATGTTTTGCAATGTCTAAATATAAAGTATAAAACATATGATTTTTTCAATAATTTGAACATAAATATTCTTACAGCTAGTGGGAAGTGGTCTGAAAAAGATCTCCAGCTAATCAATGCTTGGGCATTTCAAGCAGAGAAGGTCATTCATGGAAAACCTTCAGGAATTGATAATTCTGTTAGTACTTATGGTAAGGAATGAGTTTTAATAGAGTAGTAATTTATTTCATTAATTTAGACCAACAACCCGTATTACATTTACGACCAACTGATTCTATCAACACATATACCGTGTACACTTTGTGTTACTTAGTAACATGTACAACAGCAAAACTGTGCGCTAACACAAGCAATGTATGACATTCAACTATAATCACAGATTTTCTTATGGCTATCTAAATTTTGATTTTCACAAATATAATTAATTTTTTCTATTACTGTAGGCCATGCTGTTTCATTCACCAAAGGTTCTGAGCCAGTAATATTGTCCCAGTAAGTGTAAATCTAGTCATTGATATTTTCTTATTCTAATTCAGTGTATTTTCTAACATTATTTTGCGTTTGATGTCCACTTCATTTCCTCAGACTTAATTTTCTTCCTTGATGGTTATACTTTCTTATTTTTAGAGTTCCTTCCATTAGAATTCTTTTGGTTAATACTAAAGTACCACGAAGCACAAAGACACTGGTGGAATCAGTCAAGAAAAAATATGACAAAGTAAGACTGTAATTCCTCCACATTCAGAGAGTGAAAATTAAAATTTTATAGCTATATTTTGTTTCATACCTATCCAAAAACAGAAATTTCAACAATATATTTTAACTGATTTACTCATGCTTGAATTGTAGGAGTCTACTTGTTATGAATTGGCATTGCAAATTGATACCATTAATAGCAGTGAAAGATTTCAGGTTTGGACTTATTAGCAGAATTAATTAAGCTTAACTGTTAACTAACCTATCATATATTTATGGAACTCTTTTAGTCCACAGTTGTAATGAGTGCAGTGATGGACACAATGGAAGCCGTGGCAAAAGAATGTCTCATTCTCTTTGAGAAAATGTACAAAGGAAAAGCAGATGAATATTATAAGCAATTAGAAGTAAGTACATCTGCAGTGTCATAGTTTGTATTTCAAGTTTCTCAACCATTTGTGATTTTGATGTTCTTGGCCAATGCCTTTTCTATATTGCTAAAGAACTGGATATTTATATTTAAACGTCTACTATGAAGAATATTCTAGGAATTTTCTATCAACATGAAGTGAACAAACCCGAAAGTTAACTTGGCCTTTTAGTCCATTTAAAGACCCATGTATTAAAAATTCCATATCAGATTAATGTTTTTGCAAAATAAGCTTTTAATTCATTGAAATTTTTGTCTTTTTCAGGAACTCATATACATTAATCAGCAACAGCTAGATATCATAGGAGTCAGTCATATAGCATTAGAAAAAGTAATTCAGATAACTAAAGCCAATGGCCTGTGTTCTAAACTCACTGGGGCAGGAGGAGGAGGCTGTGCCTTCGCTCTTATCAGACCAGGTGAGGTTAATATTTTTCAGCTCTAAGTAGACTGGTCCATGTCCGAAGTGCTGATTGACCATGTCTGTAATTGGTCATATATCATGTATCTAGAGTCAACAAAATGTAACCAAATAAATATTTATAAGAACTTTTTTTAAAATATGTGAGCAATTTACATAACTGTCAGCCCACTCTGAACGCTCGAAATGATAACCAGTAATATTTGGAAAGTTCTTTGTTGATCTTTCAATTCCTTGTTTTGTACGCAAGTGAATGAAATTGCTATAAAATAGAAAATGGAATAAATTTCAATATCAGTATAAAAATGTCCATTTCTGGTCGAATATTCTTGCCAATTTATTTCTACTTATTATAAATTGTTATATATTAATAACAATAATCATAGAACAAGCATTAAACCTAGTTATACTTTTCAGATGTTCCCAAAGAAACTTTAGACTGTGTGATCCAGCAGCTATCTCTAGAAGGTTTTGATTGCTGGGAAACTGGCATTGGGGCAGAGGGTGTGACCTTACATGTATAACAGTATGATAATTGGGAGACTGGCAGAGGGTGTGACCTTACATGTATAACAGTATGATAGTTGATAGACTGGCAGAGGGTGTGACCTTACATGTATAACAGTATGATAATTGGGAGACTGGCAGAGGGTGTGACATTACATGCATAACAGTATGGTAACTAGGAGACTGGCAGAGGGAGCAATTTTACATGTACTGAGAGGTACAATCATAGATAATTATTTTTCTTCTCATTTATGTTTTTGACAACACTGTGTTGTAAAATTTTGTTTCTCCCATATTTTTGTCATGTCAAATTGATGATAGTACCACAGATCTAGTAAAAGTTATTTTTATTCATATTTCATCTTACTGTTATGTATATCATTATTTCCCTTTATGTCATCTTATGGCTGGTATCACGTTCCTGAAAACAGCTGTTTTACGTTTGTTTCTGGTTTTGCATTGTAATTGGTCTTGAGTATATTATAGAAACACTATGTTCGCTCCATTTAATAAATAATTATATAGGGTTTGAATGATTTGACTTAACATTTTGTTTTTGGCAATTATTGAGTCAGGTTTTGCTCTTACATAGAATGCAATAATTTGTATTTAATTTTAAATTTAATTTAAAATTGGAAGTGTCTTGTGTACTAAATATAATGAATCGATCAGACAAATGACATATGTTTCAGTTTTTCTTTCAAATTTTGAACATTTGTAATTAACAATTTAATGCCCTTCAGGATGTTGCAACTGCTCTAGTCCTTTGAAAAATACTCACTAATTTATGTAAAGCAGGGTAACAAATTACGTACATGTTGTTTAACGTTTTCAATACATACTGTCACAGTACCAGTTAAATGAGTGATACGACATTGTAATACGACACTGTAAAAGTTTTTTTTTTACACCAGTCATAGTATTTACCGATGTTACCTTGTGCAATATGCCAAGTGCATATAATAAGCAATACCCCTAGAACAGAGTTTTAAAAAGTTCCTTGTAATCTTAAAGCATTTCACAATCAAAGGTTACTAAAAAGTAAACAAAACTGATTGGACCAAAGCTTTGGATAACATTTTCTGTCTTTGCAAAGTTATACTGTAGTTGAAAGTAGAATGATACTTATAGTCTGTGGTAACTCCAACATTGTTAGTTCATATTTTGGCTTTAATATTAAATGTTTTACTGGCTAGGGACTAAATTTATTGAAATTTGTGACCATTTTGATATGACTGAAATTAAACAGCAGTTTGATTGACAGGAAAAAATGTTTTCCTGGAGCCAGTCCAGACAGTGAAGGGTATGAAATTGCTTTTAATTAATATCCTCTTTGAGGTGTGCTTGTTTAAAAATGAATGTGCCATGATCAAATTTGTATGCCATAGACATTTTGCTCAAGTGTTATGATCTATTTTGTACAGTTCCCTAATGTAAAACAAAAAAACATTATGAGGGAATGTCGGGTTGCCTTAGTTGTTGAACTACTGTACTATTGAGGATTTTGTGCATTTCTGATAGAAGATCAATGGTCGAGGTTTGGACATCTCTCTTCTTTTCCGAGAATATAACTAGGAAAAACTTGTTTGAAGCATACATTGTACTTATTTTGCACCAGATACAGCCATGTATTATATCCTTAGAAGTACTTAGAATACAAAAATCAGTGTTGATTAATGGTGTACACAATATTGAAGACAGATTTTGATATTTTTTTGTCAATATTTGTCAGGGGTATACGAATTAAGATTAGGATATTTGGCACCAAATAAAAAAGTCAATCCACAGTTCCAGTTGTACGAAGAGTATTGCTGAGATGAAAGAATTGTACTAGTCATACTTAACAAAATAAAAGTCAAATTCAAAGTATTTTTTAGCATTTTTACTAAGGCATTAAAATGATGCATTTTGCACTGATGCACATGGCATTTAGTATTGTTAACTAAATTTAAATTGTTAAAACAAGTACTACTCATCCATTTTCCATGATGATGTTTTGTAAAAATGAGGTTTGTTTTAATTTTTTAAATGATCTATTGAAGTAAACTGTTTTAAAATAAAAAAAAAATAAAAAAAATAAAAAAAAAATAAAAAAAAACATACTTGCTGGCAGTAAGAAAACTATTTTAAAAGGTTCTTTATATAACTTAAATATATAACTTGTCTTTAACCTGCCAGGGCAAGTGCAAGTGGACACCCATCACCTGACACTTAACAATGTATAAATAATAAATATTTTAAACTTTTCAAAACCAAGTTTTGATATTGCAAAATCAAATGGCTGGAGCAGCAGCTTCAATAAAGAAAACATAAGCATCCTACAGTCCAATATGAAGGACTGACATACATCAACTAAATCTCAACCTTTTATAATAGATAAGCGTCTGCTGCACTAAGCAAATACCTGGTTTAAATAGAAAACAAAATCACACAGGATAAGGTCATGATAACAATGTTTTCTAAAATGGTAAAAAATAAGCATTAAAAAAAACGGAAAAAGTATCCAGTTTGACAAAACTGACTACATGTTTTGAGCGGAGCAAAGATTGCTGGTCATGTTCGGGGCTATTCAATTTGCCTGCTTGTTTAGTCTCCATGTTCCCAAATATTACCCTCAAAGGTATTCTTAGAATTTCATGCCCACAATCAAAACTAGCTAACCATATTTCAAGCTACTAGTAGTTAATCTGTCCATTTTCAATCAACCCTGTATGACTGGAAAACAATCCTTCTTTATCATAAATCTTCCAACTGCTGGTTTTTAACTCGAGTCCTTTTTAATGTATTCATTAAAATTTTTCATCTCCTTCCACCACTTCCTTTAAGCTCAACATCTCTATTCTTCCCTTGCCTTTGGTTTCGGTTTTGACCAGATCATCAATTTCTCTGTAGCACCCTGGATCTATTAGTATAACCTAAAATTCAGAAATATAGGGGGGAATTCACTGACAGGCAATTAAAATTCAATGTGCCCTGTTTGGTACATCCCAAATTACTGGATAAGAAGATGTTATTATCATTCAAATTACCTTGCATCAAATACAGATCCTTAAGCTAATTAAATAAGATTTTTTTGGTATCTGATTACTTAACGTAGATAATGGAATTGGTATTCATTTAGCTGTTTTAAAACCTGCAGTGGGCATATGGGTAAAATTCCTACCATTTCCAATTCATCTCCGTCCGACTCTTCGGACTCCACACTCTTTGACAAGTTTTTTAGTTTATCCTTAAGTTTCTTGGCATCTTTAGCTGCAAAGATAACACATTTATCCACTCCTTGCAAATAAATAAATAAATGAACATGAAAAATCTTTAAATGTGTGACTAAAGAGTCATTTGCTTTAATGTACAAAATATTCTAATTGTTTTAGATAAGGCATACAGTGTATTTTCATATTACATGGCTAAAATGTCACACAGACCTGCAATGGCTATCCTTAGTCTCATCTGAGCTCTTTCAATATTTATGCCTTTAAATTCTTTTAACTCCTTGATTACTTCAAGTGCCTGAAAAAGGTAAAATTTTCACTAAGTGAACTTTGCAAATTGTTTAAGCTTACATTTAAATTGCATTACAAAGTACAGTACCTCTTCATTAGCAAATTAATTTACTTTTCAATCACCAACCTGTTGCTTTGTACTTTTGGATGGTTTCACAGAGATATGAGCATCTTTCATGGCCTTTTCAATCATGGTCACAGTGTAGGGACGTTTTGTGTCTGGGTTGACACATTTGTCTGCTATTATTGTGGCTATGTCTCTGAACATTGACTCCAGCTGCCCTTGCCTTTCTTTCTCTGAGACCTGTAGTTCACCCTTTGCTAATATCTGAAATATGTACCGAATGCATGGATACATTTATAAGTTTACCAATTTGACAAAAAATGACAATAAACATGTTTAAAGAATTTGATGACTTAATTGCCAGCTTGTTATGAAAAAATGATCTGGTCAATTAAGTTAAAGTACAGTAAATTATGTGTTTGACAGATGGTTTGTGGTACCTTGACTAAAGACTGCTAGTGATTTGTACATTAGTATACAATGTTCTATATATGCAATGCAATGTGGGCTAAATAAGAAAAAAATTATTCACTAAATTACTGAATACTTTTATCCATATCAAAATGTTAAAATAAAGGACAATTTTGGCACTTACCATGGTAAAAGGTTAAGCATTTTCCTTTGACAAATTAGAACAAAGTTGGCAGTTGGCTAAAATGTTATCATACTACAGTAATTCCAGGCATGTTACAGTACAAACCGTAGACAGAAAAACTGGGTAAGTACCTTTAGGCAGATCTCCTCCTGGTTATCTGTGCCAAACGCCTTCTGTAGGTCCTCTGCTTTGGCTAATTGGCCCTTGGAAACATTGAGGAAAACTGCATGAGTTTGCAGTACTTCTTCTATGTCTTTCTCGCTGTTAAGATAGAAAAACTTGACAAATATTAGGAATGAGAAAGATTTGACACACCAATTACACTGTACTGTACAGTAGTGCTGGTAATAATGCAGTACCATCAGTTAAAGTGTCAGTGACATTTACATCCAATTTTACTTTTTAACCTGTACATCAAAACTTTGTTATATTTCATGGACGAAAAAAGGAATTCACTACTCTCCAATAAATTAAAGAAATGAATGAAACTAAACATACACTTTGTTTCTCCATGATGTGACTTTGTTTGGATAACAGGCGATCTCAAACCTCTTGCCAGCCTTTTTCATGCGTACCACAGCAACATTGGTAAGCTTTTTCTGGTTAGTCGGAGTAAATATGGACATATTTGCATTAATGTCTTGTCTGTTATAACATATTTCGTAGCTACTGCAGTATTTATCCTGTGGTTGCAGCTTGCAACATGCAGCGCAATCTGGAAATCGTGAATTAATCTCCAAACAAAAAAGAAGGGATATTTGCCAAGAGGTACCAAAGTCTTAGCGGTCGTATCTTACACTAGATTCACACATGTATAAAATATATGTGAAAACAAATAAAATGTTATCACTTTTTTGGGGAAAATGGGCAATAATGACTTTTGGGCATATAAGTGATAATTTAAACCCATTGTTCGATCACAACTAATAACTTGTGCTTACTTTAGTCTACTTTAAAACCAACAACATCTTCGTGCTTCCAAAGTTTATTTAAGCAAGGAACTCCTTGATTCAAGTACATGTATTAGGAATAAAACCAAAACAACGATTTTCTAAAAATGAGACAAAATTTATACAATAGTAATTAGTAATTACATTATTTGTGTAAATAGCGGTGAGCAGAACTGACGCGTTTTTATTTCATTTTATCATAGTTTATTATATATGTTTTTAAGAAAAATGACAGTTACACTGCACCTCTATTTTTATTTATGGGATTATTATTATTATTTATTATTATTATCTTATTTTATTTTATTTATTATTTATTTTTATTTTATTTTATTTTATTTTTTATTTATTTATTATTATTTTTTTTTTTTATTATT